GTTTGCGAGTTAATATTCTTAAATGCTCTAAAAATATATTATTATTGTATTAGTTTAAACAAATATATAAACAGATTGTGTAATAAAAATTTAAACATACATGTAAAAAAATATATTAGTTATAGTTCATATACCAACGGCTTATTCTCTAATCCATTGAGAATGTTTTGTGCTGCAGTAAGAGACATATCAATGCGAGTCTTCACAGTAGCACTGCCCATGTGAGGTATAATCACTGCAGTACATTTTATATTTGTTAATATACATACAACTTTGCTACACATTTTTATTATTAACTAATATGTATACTTTATATAAAAATATAAAACAGAATTCTTGCTAATAAAGATATAAGAAAAAAAAGGAATAAAAAATATGAATTAATTTGTACCTTGGATTCATAACATTACATAATTTTATTTCGTATACTGTAATTAGTAGTACTCACCAGCATTGGGAATTTTAAGAAGTTCATGGTCAGTGGGCAACGGTTCAGGATCCGTAACATCAAGACCCGCCGCGAAAATTGTATTATTACGCAATGCTCTTATCAAGGCGTCTGTTTTTACAATTTGTCCACGTGCAATATTTACAAATATTGCATTCTTTTTCATTTTACCAAAAGCGCTATCGTCAAACAATCCTCTAGTTTCATTAGTTAATGGGGCAGCGACAATTACAAAATCACTTTGTGATAGGAGATCGTCAAGCGATACAAAATTCGCGCCAAGCTCATCCCCTATGTAAAATTTAATTACAAAAATATATCCACTAATATACATATTTCATTTTTACATGTATACTTATGTATACCTGCTTTCTTACGAGAATGTCCGGTATAAACAAAACGAGCTACTTCAAATTCCTTTAATCGTTTAACGATAGCTTGTCCAATATTGCCTAAACCAACGATACCAACTGTTGATCCTCTTATATCTTGACCAAGTAACCATTGGAAATTCTTTTCTACGTGACCTCTAAATTTGTAAGAAATTATTTAATATGTCATTACGAGAATTACTAAATATATTTTTCTAAATTTTTTAATCAAAATTTTGGAATAAATATACTATTTATATTTTGATGAATTATAATTAACAAAAGTGAAAGAATAAAAAATCAAATTTGTTTCTAATTACTGTTCAAGTTTTAGACGTCCTTCATGAATTCGTCTTGCTGCATTTAATGCCAAAATTACCGCAATTTCTGCAACTGCAGCTGATAGAACCATAGGCGTATATCCGACTTTAATACCTCTTCTTTTAATTTCGGGAACATCCAAATGATCATAACCAGCTGATATTGTTGAAACAACCTTTAGGGATGGTCCTATTTTTATGTATATTAATACATTATTGTTTAATACCTTTCTAAGTTTTTACGATTAAAAATGTATATTTATTGTTCCAGAATCTAACACAGTAGTGGGAATAACTGTGAGGGTCATTTATATGGATAGTATATATATTTAGTATACATATTTAGTATATACATATACATAAGAATCAAAAATTACTTTAGAAAATACAACAACAATTTAATAAATAAATTCTTAAACGTGAAAGTCAGTTATTTATAATTATGTATAATACTTCATTAATTAAATTTTAAATCTTCAATTGATTAACATTGTTACTATTGACTTCTTTAAAATTTGTTAATTTTGTAGAAACTTAAATTCAATATCTCATTTAAAAGTCAGTATAATTCGGTATTTACCTGCGATATTAAGAAACTCGCTATTTACGTCGATATGACTAGAGAGAAGGATTGCATCGTGACCAGGAAGAACTTGTAGTACATCCTCGCGATTAGTTCCAACATTCTGAATGATTGTAACATCGCATCTAAACATAAAAAGAAAGAAAATTTCAAGTACCTACATTTCATACTATATTATATTGTGAACTTTTAAAAATTCATTAAAAAATTTTAAATTAATAGATATTCATAGTGTTAAAATTGTATAATATCAAATTATTAACCTTCTAATTATCTTTTTTTTGTTTTTTTAATTGGGAGAATATTATATTATTATTTTTTTAAAGAAATGTATTATTTACTTACGTTTTTCGTAAAAGTTCTATACCAGCTGATGGTATATCATTACTAGTAACCAATACACGTGGCTTCATTGTTCTTTATCAAAGCAATGTTCTTAATGACAAACACGTCGTAAACTGAGAGAAGAGTAACATTCCTTACATTATATAACGCCATTATCTGAGTATGTGCGCAAGCGCAAACTAGATTGTAAGATAACGAACTGACATGTAAAAAACACGATATGATGTTTGCTTTTCGTTATAAATATATAAACTAATAAAAAATAAGTTATGATTTTAAATGGAATTATAGATAGAATTAACATTGTGTAAAGATTGAAATTTCAATTTGAAAAAGTCCTGAATATATAATATTTTATAAAAAATACAGTATATAATTGAACGTGTACAATGAAAACTTCCTTTATCATATAATTCACTGTTTACGAGAAACATACAAATGATAGATAAGTTGTTGCTTGTTTATCAATAATGAAAGCAATTTTGTTTTCTAAACAATTACATGTGAATAAAAGATGTAAGAATTACAATATAAGAAATTCTTTCGAAATCGTACAAATAGTTCAATATATACGCTATATATGTCTTGGATATAATGAACAATCATGTGCATATCTTATTATACTTACATGTTTTTTATTTATATGGTCTTATATGGTATAAATATAAATATAAACCTGATATATACATTTTATTAATATATTCCAATAAATTCATTAATTTTACATTAAATAAATTGAATAAAATTTCTAATCAAAGATTTAGTTTACAATGGTGATCTTTATTACAAGACAGTATGATAAAATACAATGGAATTTAACAGAATGTATTATGTTAACTAGATTGCCTGTTCATAATAATATGTACATTTAAAGTATTGTTTCAACAAGAAACTAAAAATCACAATAAAAATTAGCTATATCCACTAACATCCTTATTAAATATCTTTATAAATAATATGTAAGTAAATTTTCTGTCTTTTATTAGAAGAAATAATTCCATATTTAGAAATTATTTTAAAAATAATAGGTACAATAGTAGATACAATATAAGTATATTCAATATACAATACGGGTATATAAAATTAATTTCTTGCGTAGTTTAGAGAAAAGGGAGTATTTAAATAAATATAACGAGCCAAAATATTGTTGGACACAAACCACAATATCCTGTTATGTAGGCCGTTCAACGGTCTAAGAAATTCATCCTTAAACCACTTATTTCCTTAATAACAACTATAAATCCAAATATAGAACTGTGAAAAGAAAGAATAATTTATTAGCTATAATAATAGAAATATTATTCTGTTTAATATCGGAATAAATTACAAGTTTCTGCTTAACCTATGTAGGGTTATAGCGGTACCTACATAAGGATGGCGAAATACCATAAGCAGGTTATTTATCTTCTTACTTTTGAGACAGAGTTAGTTATATTTTATTCGTTGAATTTATTGGAGATGATATTCGAATGAAATTTTATACGAATAATGCCCAACTGTGTTACGCAGCATCATTATGTGATTTGCACTCCCGTCGCTTTATTTCGCGTATAGCATGACAAAATTGAAGAAAAATTGGGAGAGCTACTCTAAAACGGGCTTTTCCAACCTATTTTAACTAAATATCGCAATTGACAGTGGAAACCTAGAATCTACAATCGATAATATGTCAATATGCAGTATCATTATACGATTATCACGACCCGTCGCTTTACTTCACACATGGCAGATCCACATTGAAGAAAATCGGCAGAACAAATAAAGAACGGTATATTCTATGCAAATAGAACCAACAATCGCCCAGGAAAATCGAAATTTGGAAAATATAAGCACGGAAACTGAAACTACGCACTAACGTTCAGAGATTTTATGCTATCATCACTTTATTTCACAAACGAACCGACTAAATTGAAGGAAAATCGGCTGACCAGTTAAAGAACAGTAAAGTTTATGCAAATAGAGCCAACAATCGCACAGGAAAATCGAAATTTGGAAAATATAAGTGGGGAAAGTGAATCTATACACTAATGTTACAGGATTTTACCCTGTCACCACCTTATTTAAAAATTGAAGAGAAATTGGTAGAGATATTATGTCAAAATTATTTAATTTATGTCGAAAATTGAAGAGAAATTGGTAGAGCTATTAAAGAATTGTCTATTCGAAGCAATATGAGCTAAAAATTGGCAGGGACAATGGAAATTTAGAATATATTTGTATATACGATGCTTCTTTATAGACTGACGATTCTCGACTGACCGTGGTAACGGTTTCTTTTCTCAAGCCATCACGTGACCGAACTCTCTGGAAAAGTCCTCGCACCCCGCACCCCCCTTTGAACGCACACGCTTTTCGCACACGTATAGAAATCTAGAACATATAGAAATGTAGTTCGCATATTTCGTATAGTTCGTACAGTTCGTATAGTTCGTACAAAGCGGCATATCCTGACACGTTTTGTGCCCCCACAGCATCTATTCGTGGCGTCGCGACGCGTGCGTCGTTTCCACTAGACAGTTGGACGGTTGGACGAGGTGGCACCTTCCCATTCCACTTCCAATACGCGGCAGGCCCAGGAAATTTCAAATTGTTAAAGCATAAACAAGCAATGAACCACGCTGACTGGTATTAAAGCCATAACAAATTTTCAATGTTTTGATTTTTTGTTTTACTTCTGTTTAAATCAGTGACTTCCTGGAAAATTAAGTATTCCTAGAAATGTTTTGGAAAGAATCAAGGAATCGTTTATGTCTCTACCGATCGTATGCGTAGAATTTTATAGGCTGCCGCGCACTGGAAATGGAAGGGGGGAAGCTGACTCGACGAATAGGAGAACTGCCTAGCGGAAACTACGGCGTGTGAGATTAGTCTTCCGCGGAAATTTGACGGGACCGGACGTGTCGAACGTCAACATGGGGCGTAACTACCCGCGGCCTACCTGTTGCGTAGTACGTTCATTTCTTTTCTCATATCATTCGTATGCTACTGTTAACTTTCTTCTATTAATACGTACTAGTTTTTGAACATTTTGAACATCATTATAGTAAATCTATCTAGTTTTTTACGTCTTTTCTGGTTTTACAATTTTGAATTTGGTCGTTGAAGTTACCAGTAGCTTAAATTTAAACAGGATTATTTAATTTTATCATAATTAGTTACGATTTCATATATTTGTTTTAAATTTTGTATTTTCTTTTGTGCAGATCATTAATGGATTGCAAGAATTGCGTAAGACGAATTAGACGCCAACGAATGAATTTGAGAAGCAAATATGGCCGCCAACGAACAAATTTGAGAAGCAAATATGGCCGCCAACGAACGAATTCGAGAATCAAACATGGCCAGGAACATTCGAGAACGAAGTATGGACGCCATGATGGTTCATCTTCGAATCTGCAACGTTTTCGTGAGAACCTGGTAATATTGAACTTATAAATTGAAATAATGAACATTGTACTGTATTTCGCTCACGAATATTTTGTAACGCCGTCATAATTTTCCCTTGAACAATAATTTTCATTATTTATACGAAAGCGTCGCCATTACAAACACGTACAATTTTCGACGCATGCCTGAAAAGGGTTACTGCGCAGTATGATTGCGCAGACATATTTCGAAATCCACTAATAAACTGTTTCATATAATTTCTCGCATTTAGCGGTATTACAGTACAATACTTCTAATATTTTCCATTTATTCGTGAGTTTTCAAATAAGTGTTCTGCTTAACGCGTTCCGTGCCAAGCCCTTTTTGCCTGACTGAAGATCAAGTTACGTGGCCGGTGGTATACGTGACACGGAACGTGTTAATACATCTATCATCGACGAAACGAGTAACGGTCAACCAGGACTTTATAAAAACAACAGTAGTTTTTTTTTAACGAGCGTTCGACAGCGAGCAGAACTCTCCACCCCATCCCCCCCTAATTTTTTTCTTTCAGGAATCTTTGTGGCCGCGCGCAATGCGACCGGTAGAATCAGTGTTTGTTTATATATCGAGTATAAAATTTCCTTTTCAGAGCCCGGTAGCTCTTGCAAGATATAATCATAACTGTGATACGCGAAGCTAGAGTCAGTGTTTGTTCGTCGATCGAAATTTAAGCGGACGTGATAATCTTTTTTTTTTTTTTATATATTTATTCTTGCCTTTTTCCCTAAATATTCGTTACCGGTATTAGAGTCAGTTCTTGCCTGGAAAGGATCCAGCGGTGCTCCAAAAGCCAAAAATGTAAGTATGATTGTACATCATAAATTAATTAATTTTAGTCTTTTTAATTTGTTTTAATAATTATTAATTATGAAACAAAAAAAATAAAAATGTAGAGTTTAAGAGATTTCAAACTATTATGTTAAAGTTTCAATTTTTCGCTGTTTAAAGCTTTTCAAATTAAATCGTGTCTTTAAAAACAAACTATAATATCCAATTCTTTGTTACAGATTTTTGCAAGCACTTTTTCATGCATCCAGTAAATCTACCTTCATGACAGCCACCACGGTAGTGATCTTCACATCGGTTTTCTCCACGATTTCGTGTCGGTAATCGCAGCAATGTTCTCCGCATCATTGGTGAGTCGCATGCATTTTGGTTCCTCTGGTCACTCAATCATGTCGTAGGATGAAAGGTCCAAATCGACACGAGTGATTGGTTGTATTACGTAGAATTTTTTATGAGCATAGTGACCGTTGGTATTTATTATACCTGTGAATAGTAACAAAATGTCTCCTGTGTTTTATTTATTAATTCAGGATAGGTTTTCTTGCACATCGCGTATCTGAATAATAATAATAAAAATATGGATAATTGGCTTGTAGTATATTGACATAAATAATACAATATTGTTAATTAGTTTACTATACAAATGTTGGAATATTTTGTAGTGCAGAAGTCGAATGCCCTTCGACTTCGTTACTATGAAAATTATAATTATGACACAGCAACAATGGTTATATATCTTATCATTGTTGTTTTAATAAATAAACGCCAATTCCATTTTTCGCTTTTTAGTAATGTTCAATAATTTAATTATTTGGTTGATTTTAGTTGAATTTGAAATATATTAATATTAGCATTAATTTTCTTTCGTTCCGAAATACATTGGATATTATGTGCAAGAAAACATTTCGCGACAGATAGATTTTGGAATCAAAGCAATAAATATGTATTCTATTTCTGTATTTTCGAAAATGTGCTTTGAGGAAAAAATCATCTGAGATTATTTTCATTGATTTTTAACTTAGAGCCAATTTAATTAGATCGAGTTTTTATCTTTGCTGTCACGAATAAATTCCTTTTTCATTATCAATATTTTCTTTTGATATTCAATTTTCAATAATTCCTTAATTTTGTAAAGTCATGGTAGATAAATTGAAAATATATAAGATGAAAGAATATTAGTCCGTTAAATAATGCTAATCATGTTTTTAGTTCAGGATTTTCAGATTTAACCCTTTCCGTGTTCATTGCCAGGAACTCACTCACGTGCCCCGGTGCTACTTGGGTGGGTGAAAGGCAATGGGCATGATGACCATAGTTCATAAGTTTATAATAATTTTTTTCGCGGCTGACGATGAGTTAGGGTATCGTGCACGACGTATTTTCCACATTGTGTGTGTGGTTAGGTTGTGGAATTACGTCGTTCGTACATTTGCTTCCCTTGCTTTTGCAAATATTTGTGAATTTTGAAAATTCGTGAATATTAATCGCAATAGTAGAATATAATCCGCTATTAAATACAGCGGATTATAGATATAAACGCGGTAATGTTATTAATTTTCGTACTTCCGCGATTATGATTTTTTTTCCGGGAACTAATACACTCGCGCTTTACGCAAAGGTCTCTAGCCATTGTCAGCCGATTTCAGGAAATGGTACGTAAAGTTAGAGTGTGTATGTAGCCAAACTCGGGTGTCGGGGGCGTCCCGGGACGCTTTCTGTAGTGTAGGTTCTTTGCGCCCGGGTGTTATGTGTGAGAACCGTGGAGTGTGGTGTGTTGGAATGCCTGATTTTTGCCATTTTTTAAATATAGGGTTAGGTAGGTAGGTAGTATACTTTCTGGTGTGTCTGTTAATTATAAGTAGGTAGGGCCGGGCAGGTTGGCACAGTCTCTGATCGGGTAAGCGCGTTTTCGCGTGCACAACCTGTTTCAGGAAATATAATTTGAATAGTCGACGGTGAAGCTGGCACGTTTGGGGGTTGCCATTCGTCACTAGCTTTACCTATCGATTTTTTCAAATTTTCGTCGCGGTCGTGAATCCTTTGGATGAGAAATCATTCCTTTTACTACTTTGTCACTATGCTCTTATTTAGTAGTATGTAGTAGTAGTAAGTAGTAGTAGTTTGTTTACTGGCCGACGTACATCGGTCCATCATCCTGTTTCGGGCAAATCGCGATTTTTGTAAATAGCGTTGCGAGTAATTAATCACGGTTTGAATTAGTGTTGCGAAGAAGACCAGATTTCGCGATTTTAATTAGAGTTGCGAACAAATGTTGATTTCGGTTTGAATTAGAGTTGCGATGAAGTAATGATCGCGTTGATTTAGCGTTGCGAATTATAAGAACGCGATTGTTTTTGATACCCCTTTATATAAATTATTGTTTCTTGTTAAATAGTAATATTAGAATTTGTTGATTTACTTGAACGAAATAAAATTTGTCGTTTGTTTAAAATTAATTTTTCAAAACTAGCTTTTTGTACATATAGAGATAGTAATTTTTATCAAATTTATTTCAAAAATTAGCGTTGCGTTTACCCCTATCGCGTTTTTTTTTTTTAATTACCCACCTTCATAGTTAGCGTTGCGTTGAAATATGATCGCGCTTTTTCAAGTAGTGTTGCGAATACGTAATGCCCAAAATTTTTCCACTGGGACTGTGGAAGTTCAGTCCTGTTCCTGAGAAGAGTCACCTGTTGCAGCTATAGAGCTGAACATGGGTGGTCACATCAGCAGCCTGGACCATGGCTGCCCATAATTTTTCGCTATTAGTGTTGCGTATTTTTGCAATGAGTGCATAAAATAGTATATATTAGTGTTGCGTTCGTAATTAATACATCTTACTATGATTATATTCGGGAGATATTTGTTCTTTTTTTTTGCCAAGTTTTTGTAAATGGTAAATTAATTTTTATAACAAATATTATGAAGCACTCTTCGCGCTTGATTTTACAAATTTTTCATATTACCAATAGATATAATAAATTAGTGTTGCGAAATTTGAAATGATATTTCACTCACGGTTTGTTACGCGGGTTTACATTGAGTAATAAATATAATTTGTTTTCTTTCAGCTGCCAATTAAACAAAATTTGTTTTTTATCTACTAATCCAATACATAAGTTTGTTTCAGATTTATTAATTTACGTATCGCTATATTTGACATCTCAAATATTCGAGCTTATGTATGTCAGAGACTCAAACGTGGAATAATATACGTGAAAGGAAATGATTTAAGGAAAAGTGGTGTGTGAGTCTCATTTATTTATTTATAATCTGATCGCATTAATTACTATAATTAATTACATCTCGTATAATTTTACTAATTTTTATGTAGTTTGATATGTTTCAGGAACCAATGCGAGGTCTACGGAGATAATTTGATTATAAATTAAATCTTTAATCCTTTTGTAGATAGGATGTGTTATGCTATATTTATATAGATAGGCTATGTATACCCCCCGCCGCCCGCCCCGCCCCAACCCGCAAGTTTTATACACATATATTATAATGTATAAAAAGTAATTAGAATTTTTATTTCGATAGGATTTATAAAATTTGTTTCAGGAACTCTTATGGACCACTGATGGAAAACAGTCGCATGGCGTTTTCCTGTTTCTTCATTAGACTTAGATATTCATCTAGGAAAGGTTAATAACCTTAATAATAACCTAATTAATATATAAACAGGGACTTACGCTGCAATGCTAGATACAATAATATTTAAATAATATAACATTTCCAGTTAAGTAGTATTAAGGTAATTATTCACATTAATAATTAATTTTATATATAATTAATGATAAGTAGAATTAATTAGTATTAAATTAGTAAAATAAATTTAATTCTTTGCGAGACATTTCATTTCTCCTGGTGTTGGGTTTTCTTTTTCAATTTTTTAATCACCAATTATTCTACATTTTCATGCCCAGAAACATGCAAAGTCTTGTTGCATGAACGAAATGTCTTTTCTTTGTTTAAATTTTCTAATTATCTATATTTTGTGCCAATGAAAATGTAAAATATTGATGCAGAAATGAAATTACGTCTCGCATAGAGTGATCCGTTTAGTTTAATACTTAATTTACTTTTTATTTTCAGGTTTAGTTTCGCGTCGATTTTTCTTCTATATCCTTTTTGCCACTCTTTTGTACAACGATCATGGATTGAACGTTTTGCAAACGTGCACAAAAAGGGGAATTTATTTGAATGTTGATAAATTTTTACGCGAATGGAGGGAGGATGGATCGTGGATAGGGTGGGTCTCCATTCGCAGCACCTCCTCGTGGTGAGACCTGGGCAATCGGTATTATTTGACATATAATTTCTAATTGTATCACTATAGTTATATCATACATAGTTAATAACTATGATACAATTATGAATGATATAGCAAGTAATATGAGCTAATTGGCTGCGATCTTAACGTTGTAGATTTTCGTCTGTTAAGTTAAGGAGAAGAGATCGATACGGGATCTTCTTGTAATTTACATTGTTTAGACTTTAGACATAATTTACATAGGTATATCAGTTAAAATAGTGATCATCGAAGTCCATACTTTGTTCTAACAAAGGTTAACAAAGGTTGTTCGCTGATTAGCCGAGAGACAGTTTCCCCAGTCAGTTCCAACGCATTGCTAACCGTAAATTGCACTGTGTAGAAATCACTTTTTAGATAATTTGGCTTTCCAGAAATTCGTCCATTCGTTCTGGAAAAAAAGTGATATATCCTATATTTTATGTATAACGTCATAATAAATTTCGATTTTAATTTTAACCATTACGAATATTATAATTTTAGTCTATGCTGGGAATAACACTAAAATGAAAATAAAACTTTAGAATCGTAAAATACTAAGCATAAAAATGTTGGGTGATAATATTTTATCTACTACAATTATATTAGATATAATTCTTAAGTCATTATTCTAAATTATTTACAGCATAATTAATCCAGTCATTTTTGCACGATCGGTATTTCAGAATACGTGACAGAAAGTTCCATAAGTTGAGAAGTCTATTGTATTTCTGATCAGTGATAGAATGTACACCACGTGCATTATTAGGTTATCTTTGATATTTGGGGTTTTCGTACAAAAATTATAAATATTTTTGTTATGAACTTTACTGTAAGAAAATAATTAATTAAAAATGAATATAATATCTTGTACAGCGTGGGTAAAAAAAGGTGTTGCATCTACAAACCCTCAGAAGGTTAATTATTTTAAATATAAAGAAATAAAAATATTTCTCATTTAAAATTTATTTCGTTCAATTGTGTCTAATGTTATTAATTTTTAGGTTGAATTATCTCCAAAAGAATTAGAGCAAATCATAAAGCAAACACAGTCTGAATTACAGTAAATATAATGATATGTTATATGTAAAAAAAAAAAAAGGATTTGACAATTGTAAAAATCTTTCAATTTTTTTTAGAGATGCTACAAGTGACCAAGATGAGGAACATAATAAAGAAGGAAAAAGTGAAATTGAATCTGAATCTAATATATCCAAATTAGACGAATATAACTTTGACAAATATGATGACGAATGTAAGATAAATGTGTATAATATATATAAATTTATATAAATATATATCATACTAGAAAATAATCTTTTTTACAATATTTATATTAATATATAGCGGATAACATACATTGCAATATTAGTAATATTGCGACTTTTGAAACAAATGGAAAAGATTCTTTTATAATAGGGTCAGATGATGATTCAGAGAAAGAAGATGATATTATTAAAAGTGATGATAATCTTGTACTGGTAGGGCATGTTGAAGCAGATGCTAGCATTTTAGAAGTATTTGGTTTGTTTATTTAATAAAAAGTTTTTTAATGAAAAAGTTGAATTTTTATAAGTAATTTTCAAAATATAAATTTCGATAATTTTCAGTATATAATGGATCTGAAGGTTCATTTTATTGTCATCATGACATACTGTTATCATCATTCCCATTATGTATAGAGTGGCTCAACTTCGATCCTTCGGATTCAAAACCAAGTATGTATAAATATTTGTACATAATTATAAGTTTACACAAAACTTCTTTTATTCCAGATAATTTATGTGCAATTGGTAATATGACTCCTATAATTGAAGTATGGGATTTAGATTTAATAGATTGTTTAGAACCATCCTATAAACTTGGTTGCAAGCCAAATAAAAAGAAAAATAAAAAACGTATTGGACATAAGGATGCTGTATTAGATCTGGCATGGAATGAAAACTATACGTTGGTATCAAATATTAAGTAAAAAAGATTTACATTAAAAGTTTATATATTCATTAATAAAATAATACTTTAAATACTTCTTTAGACATGTACTTGCTAGTGGTTCCGTTGATCAAACTGTTTTGTTATGGGATTTAGAAAATGGAACACCTGTCAACAAATTTGTTTCTTTTAATGAAAAAATTCAGTCACTAAAATGGCATCCAATAGAAACACACCAGTTACTAACAGGTTGTGCCGATAAGTATGTGTATTAATTTTTAATCAGTTATAAAAACTTTTCAATTATTTGAAATACTTACATATTTAATTTTGTATTTAGGATGGTGAGGTTATTTGACTGTAGATATGAAACAATTACAAAAACATGGGAAGCAATGGGAGAAGTAGAAAGAGTATTATGGAATGGTTTTGACTCAAATTATTTTATGGTTGGTACCTCTAATGGATATGTACAGTACATAGATATTAGGCAAGACAAACCAATTTGGAATATAGAAGCTCATACACAAGAAATTACAGGTAAATATATATATAAAATTTGAATATGAATAGCATAACTTAGATAAACATAAATTGTAACTAAATTTATTATATTACAAATATAGGTTTATCACTTAGTTCATCATGTCCTGGACTTCTTGTTACTTCAGCAAATGATGGTGTCATAAAAATATGGGATATTATTAATAATACAGAGCCATCATTTGTTTGGGAAAAAAAAAGTAACCTTGGTGCTTTATTATGTCTTGCATCAAATCCAGATAATCCTTTTGTATTTTCTGCTGGTGGTGATAATAAATCACATAATTTAAAAATATTTGACTTTTTGGAAATATCAGAAGGTATGTTAATACGTAAATCTAAATCCTTGTATAATAATATTTTCTTACTTTAATTTGGCTTTTCGTTAGTTCGTAAAAAATTTGAAGATCGAAAATGTGTTATGCCAAAAAGTAACATCAATGATGTAAACACACGAGAAGAAATGATGGATGTAACCGAAAATATGGATTCAATGATTTTAAATACAGACATATCACACACAGTATCTGAAAGGAAGACAAAAAGTAAGTAAACGAGTACATTAAAAATTACATCAATAACGAAATTTGTAAAAACTGCAAATCAAAGGTACTTGTACTACTTTTTATTTGTATATTGTTTTGATATAAATAAAATGTTAAAAAGTAACATATTTGGAAGGTCGAACTAAAATTTGTACTTTTTCTTCTTAAAACATTCACTTTATTTTCTCCTTGTAATAATATAATGTTAATTTCAACAGTATTTTTCGAAAGTTTTACAATCTGTACAACATAGTAATTCTGTTCTAATAATTTACAATACACACAAATCCAATTTTATTTTAACATATTTTTCATATATTTAAAACAATTGGTATAAACATTTGATTTGTATCAACCCCATAGCATAAAAATATCAGAAATTACGAAATGATTTAAAAATTATTTTTTTAATAATTTTGAAAATTGAAAATATGGGTTTTCAAATTGCATATTGTAAAATATAAAGTGTATATCATAACTGTAAAACGATTAAGAACACATTATTTTGATGTAATAATCCAACATAATTTAGTAAAGTATTTTAAAGCAGAGAATATAAAAGGTTGGAATTTATTTCTATTTAACATAAATTTGACATTTATTTTATAAAGTTTATAAAATTGATGACATTTATGAAAAACAAGTTTTGAAGTTGAAACTACAATTTCACTCTTCCATGTTATAAACTCTTCTTAACATTGCATGATTATATAATTTTTTGGTACCTGAATAATTGTATGTATAAATGTTTGTAAAAGTATTATTTACTTTCATGTTTATGATAAAGAATATTAACTTCAATGACAAATTACATTTTATACTTCAATCTAACTAGCATACAAATATTTTACATGAATTTAAAAAGAATTGTTTGTATAGCATGTTAATATTCTATGCACTTATGAAATAATCATATGATTTATGGTCCTTATAGTCACAATAAATTTTGTATGAGTCAATTTGGTAATGCTATTTCTTACCTGGTAACGTAAAGTATGTAAAAATAAATACAAAAAGAATTATAAATCACAGTTACAAGTGATTGGGCAGTTACTAACATGAGCTAGCTTTATAGCTTTTATGCTCTGCTGTAATATCAGTAATAATATAATTTAAAAAAGAAAAAGAAAAAAAATGAAAGGAAAGAAAGAGAAAAGAGTAGTCTTCTGTAACAATATTACAATATTTGTTATTTTACTACACAAAGAAAGTAACATTTATTTAAATTGGTCAAATATTTTCGATTAATATTATGTTGAATCTATATATTCTAGTATTATTAAAGTATGGGCAATAAAGAAATACATAAGTGTTATATCTGCTTCGTTTTAACGTAACGCGATTTGTGAGCAACCAAAATTAACAAAATTCTTTGTTACAGACTCAGATATTACCTAAAATATATATATAAAACCAGAAGTTAACTATTTCAATTTGCATTATGTACTATGTTATGTAATTCAGTTGCATATTCTTTTATGTATATCTATGTATAAATAAAAATTTCTGCATTAGTAAAATTAACTGCTATTAAAGTCAAAAGCTTGGAACAGATCAAATTTATAGATAATTTGGAATGAGATAAAGGTATATATACGTACCAATGCCAGTTTCTAAATTCTCTGCCACAGTAATTATTAAATAAACAAGTTAAATACTTCATATTATACATAAGTGAGTTCATTAAAATATTCTAATTAACAATAATCTTACAACATGCTTTCTGGCAGTGGTGTTATAGATTCAATGAAAGTCATGTGGATATTGTTATGTCAACAATGGATGTATCAAATTCCATTTACCATATTAAGGCATATAATGCATTTGTTATAGTCAATATTATATAAGTAGAATAAGTAATACCCGAAGTTGCACAAATAAAATTATCTAAAATGTTTAATTAAATATTAAAGATTAGCTTAGAATATTGACAATTTTTTAAATAAATAAGTTTAACTAACTTTTGTCGATGCTTTTGGATGTCAAGATTATTGTTATGAAAGAGATAATTTCGATGTCAGTATATAGCAATAATATACAACATATTTCTTACATTATATTGAAGACATAATTCAATGATTCCACTGATAGCATAAAACATCTGACCTCATTGAATGTTACGTAACCTGTAAAATATAGACAAAATGGTTGTTTTTGTCTACACAATGGACCATGGTCCATAAAGATTGACATACATTATATAATATATTAATTAGATTAATTCATACACATATGTGATATAGCACTGAGCTAAGCATCTGTTCCTATATCCAGACTTCTAGAGTCTTGATTAGAATCATGCTGACTTCCATTTTCAGAAGAAGCACTGCTAGATAAACCAGACTGATCTGAACTTTTTTTCACTTTGGGCTTATATTCTGTAATAACGACAGTAACATTATTCACTGTCACTTCATTGGTCTGAGCCGTACTACGATCTATATTTTTAAGACGGGGTGGATGCCTATTTTTACGCCTTGGTTTGTCCAATTTACGATCTTTTTCTTTACCACTACTAGTTGTACTACCCCCACTTCCACCTTCCTTTTTTCCTGGCTTTAAAAGTGGTACATATTGTTGCTGTGCAACCTACATATAAAGTAACATTAATGGAACTATCTTTTCTAACATATATATTGTAACCTTATTATACATTATTGCATTTATGATAAATAAGGAACAGATACTATATACTAAAGTACTATAGTATTGTAACCTGTTGTGCCACAAGTTGGGGATTAATGCGGGGTTTCCGCGTAGAAGTTCCTTTACGGACGTCACACATGAGGCACTTAAATGCTTCTGCGGTATTTCTATACGTGCAAACACTGCAGTCCCAATAGTTTTCTTCCAAAACCTTCGCCTGACGTTTTCCACTTCCCGAATGGTTCATTGTTCATGAAAGTCAGTTTTAGAACACTGTACCTTCTCAAAAGAGAGTTAGCCTTCCTATACGTGCTTTCAGCCTCATTAAAAGTGATTTTATGAACACTGGATACTTTATGACAATGAGAATGCTCTAAAAGAGCAAGAATAAAGATATGCAATAAAGAAAATAGACAATTGCCTAAGACAATATTTTGTGCATCAACTAAACAAGATACACAATTGTCGAATGTACTCATCTTTACTATATAAACCATCTATATCTCTTTGTTGTGACATTCTGATGTACATTTTTTAAGATGTATCTAGAACAAATGAAATATACATTCTTTGTTGTAATGCAATAAATAATTCTTTTAACAAAAATTTCATATCATGTCTTATATATATGTATTAGGGAGTTACATTTAATCCAATTTTATACAATAAACAAATTTAACATACAATAATATTGTTACTTAACATAGACGCGCGTGCGTATACACTATCACATATATTATATTATTCAAAAAACCAAATAAATTTATTAAAAAAATTTATACTAAAACAGATTTTTCTATAAATTAACATAAAATGTTCTTTATTTAATGGACTTACCGATTAAAAGTACCAATTTATGGAACTTTTTGTATAGTATGGGTTATCTGTCTTTTTTGTTATTGTATTGCAAATTTTTACTTATTCACTTACAAAAGTAGTATTTGTATTAAATATCCATGGTAATGTATGATTGACAAAATCTTATTAAAAAAAAATTTAGATACTGCTTATAATGTAATGATTCCAAATATTCTTCTCTCTAATGAAACAGATGGAATTTCTCACTTGCATATAAAAGTAGCATTATTCCACATTTACGATGTTCTCCATATCAGTATTATCAGTATGTTTTGTACACATACACTAAACACTCTGACACATTTACAATCGGAATACTTTTTTGATTTTTTGTGTCATCGTAAAATGATTACTTTACACATAAAAGATGGTAAAAATCAACTAACTCGAAGATATTGACAAACAATCCACAGTGCTGTTCCTCTATAGGTCGAACAGCGGAATGTTGAATGCGGACCAAAATACTGTTCGGTTTGGCAACATTGCATGTGCCAGTATTGTATACTGTACTAGAAAAACCCTTCCCTCATCTCTCAATTATATGAAATTTAATATGTATTAATATAGTTTATTAAACTATCAAAAAATTTGTAATGATATAATAAGAAGAGAAAACAAATTATTACTATTATTACTGGATGTTAATGTAAAATAATGTTACATTATAATTCTCAAATAAACAACTTGTCAAACAAATATTTATGTATTTTTACTTATTTTAATTCTTTGTTGTAAGACAATTATATGATTTTACACACTCTGTATTTAATTATATCTCAGAAAAAAACTGCTCGTAAAATATAGGCCTTGATTTAACTTTCACAAATTCCTGAAAGTTTTCTCTTGAAAGAAGGATTAACTCATACAAGTAGATTGACAGTGCTGGACACTATAATTGATAACTCTAACTGTTAAGTGGGTGTTTTTTATTTTTACTGAGTTTGATAAAAAATAATACAACATATGTAAATGTAATTACGAAGAATAGTGATTGACTCTTATATTAAATTGGGCTAGGTAGTATGGTATGTTGTATAATTGTTAAACAGATTTGACATTTAAAACCAACTTTAAGGTTAACAAATATAAACAATAATAAAGATTATTGTTATCTTTTCTAGATAAAAAGAAATTAATAGAGTATAAATTTTTTCTCTTTGTTATATCTATTAAATATTTGCTAAGCTACATTAAACAGTTTGAAATATATATAAAAAAGATTTGTATATTCTAGGACATATCAAATGAAATGGATAAATCATGGGATCATCCATGGACTACAGAGGAAATGCGTAAAAAAAGAAGAGAATGGAGCTTAGCTGGTGATGCAGGACTTCTTAAACATCTTCAGCAATTTTCTGATGTAAGTTTAAATTAATGATATATTTTCCCTTGTTAAATTACTCATTAAAATTATATATAAAAAACTTACATCTTCTGATGATATTTTTATAGAATGTAGTATCGAGGGCAAATAAAACTCAAGAAGCTTTGGATTCGTTGACAACTCAACTGAATGAAACAGCAATATTTATAGATAATGTTACTAATACATCTTTGGCTTTAGCTAATACTCAATTCATTGAGAGTCGTGTACAAAAACATGACATAGAGATTGCAAAGGATGCACAAACATTAATTGAGGTACTTGAATGATATAGATATTATAATTTCTCTGAATTATTATTATATCATAATTTATTTATAGAAATGTAAAAATCAGGATTCTAAAACTGTAGATTTTATAACTAGTGTGAGTGAAAGTGTAAAGCAAGGTTTGAACATAATGTATGAAAAATACAAGGAAATGGAGTTTGTTGATAGTGATAGTGAAGAAGACAATAATGTAGTACTAAGGTAAATATAATTATTAGATTATTTTTATTCTCAAAATAATTCTTTAAAATGTTAACAATTTAATTACAGTGTTGTATTGGGGCCAAATGATCCATACCAAGATCGGCCTTTACCTTATGTCATTGGCTCTGAAAAATGGAAAAATTCAAATAAAATTGGTTTAGAAAGTAGTAGTAGCAGTGAATCTGAACAGATAGATGAAGAAGAAGAATCAGAAAATAAAGATGATGATGAAATAACAGTACCTAAAGATCTTAGTATACATACTGTATCAAAAACAAACACTGTTGGATTATTACCTTCTTTGAGTGACTCGGTTTATAATAAAAGAAATGACATAACATACACGAGTAATGAAAAAATAAATGCAGTTAGTCAAAACAATATAGGTTCTGTTCCTGGCTCAATTACTCCAAATGATAATGTATCAAAGGTGTCTTTTTCTTTTTTATCATATATATTTTTGCACAATATTTTTTACTGTAGGTGCATAATAATACAAAATCTTCATATTATGTTTTAGATATCTTCAGTATATAATATAGGACCAAATTTTGCGGAAGAATTAGCCAAACGATTAGGTACAGTGCGACAGGCTCAAAAACCGGCTGTTATAGATGAAAAAAGTGAGGCATCGATAAATCGATTTAAAGGTATTTACACGAATTCAATTTGTTTTATTTTATATCGCTATATTTAATTATTCTATTTGTCAGATGATTTGTTTACATCAGAGGGAGATGAAAACATATTAAGTGATAAATCTAAGACGGTATCGAGTACAAGTAAAGGATTTTTAAATGATCAATTCATAGAAAATTTATCAAAGGAAAACCAGATAAAATCGTACAAGAATAATATTATACCTGCTAGTATTGATGTACCACCTCCGATTAGTACTGTTTGTAAGTTTATTTTAGTATAAAATTTTTGTGATTTGCATATTTGTTTTTTAGATGTTTAAAAAAGATATATATTTTCAGCGACGAAACCAAAATCTGCAATTGATGATCTTTTCGGCGATGCTGATTCCGATGATATTTTCTCGTCAAAAAATACGGTTAAAACAGTCACAAAAAATAAATATCCTAATAATAATAATAACCAGCCAACGAATATGGAAAGTGCGCAAAAGAAATATTTAGAGATTGTAGCACCAACACTAATTAGTAATGTGGCTACAAGTACACCAGAAACTAACGTCAATACAACTAATTTACTTAATGTTGATGAAGATGATGATCTTTTTGGGTCGTCTAAAAATCAGCAACCAAACAAAAAAGTAAGGCCTCACAATAGCGATACTTGTTAAGCAGTTAGAAATACCTTGTTTGCAAATTTTCTAATAAAATTGTGAAATTAATATTTCTATAATATTTTAGAATCTGAATCATTTGAAAAATTCCGAATCTTCTGGAAGTAATACACCAGGAAATTATGAAAGCAATGTTAACAACGAATCGGTGTTTGATCATTCACGAAATACTATTTGGAATGATAATACTAACGAACGAGATTCTATCGTAACAGCAAGGAGTAGTACAGGAAATTCAGCTATCGTTCACGAAAGTAGTTATAGCAGTGGTATATCAGTTCATCCACCGAGTATTAATAACACTGGTGGTTCAAGTATAGGGTAAGTATCAGTCCCATTACTGTTACTATAAACAGATAGATCAGATCGTGTAAAAAATTAAATAATATAGATTATGGGTTATAATATATTTTTATTCAAAAGGAAAGTCTTTCTTGTACAGTCAGATTAGGAAAGAAAGCCAGTCTTAAAATTTATGCCGTTTTTGTTTTTCTACAAGTGCACAAACGAATACGTATGCCACGCACATAAAATGTCATAGAATTGATGATACAAACATTAGTCATCGTTCATTGCGTTGCAGTGATTGTATCGAGTATTCAAGCGAGCTCAAGGCGAGCTCCTTTAGTTTACTTCTATCTGATCTCAAACTAGTACTTCGTACGCCTATGTTCCATTAACTTTTCTTTTTTTAATGTATTTATTTTTAATTATTTAAGATAAGTAAGTACTATATCATTTCGTAGTTTTTCACTGTTAGTATTTAACGTTGTCCTATATACGAAATGTGCATAATAATTTTTTAATTAACACAAATAAATTTTGTACGACTTTATTGATAATATTCGTTTAGATTCCTTTTTTGATATTTAGTTTGTTTTCTTTTAACATATTGCGTACTGAGGATTTAAAATATTTTATCATATAACATTATAAATGGTCGAATACACAATATTTTTAGTCTTCTTCTATAGAAACACGATATATAGGACAATGATAAATGCTGCGTACATATGTTGTTAACAAGTATATATTGATTTAAAATCAAATCACTTACGCAAGTCCTGTTATATGTCCGCTCTAGTGGCACGTTTATTGTATGCGATCTATACAGCACATTCCTACGGAAAGATCTTTGCTTTTCTAATTGCCAATTGTTTTCTGCGTATAAGTAATTCGTAAAATATATTTATAAGAATTAAGCTAGTAAATTTGATCGAAAGTTGAAATTAATTTTACATATGAATAAAATTTCTAGAAAAACTTATAATCGCGTTTCTGTCGATAGGAATTTAATTATTTATCGCGTTACATCTTTCGAGAATTTATTAGATGCAATCATATATTTACTCCGGCGTGACTTATCGATAATGCCATATCGGAAATTGTATTGCATATCATTGCTGTATGTATTTTTACATTTCGATACATTGCAATTATGTATTTAACGATTTCCCATATTTTGTGAGTATTTTAATATGCTTCACTTATTTTATGACGCGTTAAAATCAAGAAAACAATGTACTTTACACTTACAAGAAGATAAGCACATTGCCGGATATACTTATTTTGGTCCGATGTATCGTGTATGTACCTCACTTTTATCTCTTGGCTCGCATTGCTTCTGACTTTTCCATTAATATTAATAATATTTTTACTCGAATATCTCTTTTTAATCTTTTACATAATCTCTTTTTATTCCGCTGTTTCCGTAGTTTGGCCCTGAGCTTAGAACTGGCGTTTTGGAAGTGTTAATGAAATGTAATATATTTACAAATTACGTTCAATAACGTTCACGAAATTGAAATGCAAGTGACACAGTGGCTTGATCAATTATTAAGTAACAATTAAAATGTTAAAAAAACATGCATTACTTGAATAATTGAATCGAAAGAAATTCTTTTGCTAAGCAAGTGTTAATTTCGTAAAATTTTCATATTCTTTTACGTGATGTTACAAAACGTTAAAAGCTCAGTTTTGATGATTTCTTTCACATTTTTCATTTTTTTTTTTTGTCATCAGCAAGCGTTTGCTTATTGATTTTATCGTGATATATTTAACTCTCTGCACATTATATCAATATGTAACGTGTATGATGTTTCACGTCTTTATTTCCTGTTTTTCATAATTTGGAAATATATGCTTGAAAAAGAAACCTCTGTCTTCACCGTAAATGAGGCATGCCTTTTAACAGACATACACGCACGCACGCAGACACAGGGCGGGGGGCAGGACGGAGAAGAAAGAAAGGATATTTTCTAATTAAGAATTTCCCATCGTTCAATTAAAAAAAGAAAAAAAGAAAAAAAAAGAAAAAAGAAAGAAAGAAGGAATTAGTAAGAAATTGGCTGTTTTGTTCCAGTGTTGATTTCCAGCCAGAGATGACGTCAACTCGTTTAAAATCGGAAGAAATCTACCGAGAACGAGTCGGTAGCGATAGTCTTTTCACTGCGCGTACACGCAATCCAGTGAATACGACTTCTATTCCGAACTCGACGAACAATCCACCGCAGGAGGAATCAATCGGGGATATCTCGTCTATACGACAGGACGATGTGTTCGAGAACGAGGATCTGTTTGGTCCACCACCACTACCGAAGGCGGATTCAAAACCGTCGAAATCGAAAATACCTTCGCTGTTCGACGATTCCGATTCTGGCGATGAGTTGTTCTCGACGACCAGTTCCGGTTCCAGGTCACAGAAGAGTAGCGATTTATTGACGGCCTCGCAATACTCGGACAAATTCAAGTCTACGCATCAAAGAGGTCTCTTTGACGAGGAGATTGATATATTCGATAATAAAGATTTGCCGGACGTCGATATCTTCGGCATATTATCAAAACCTGCGACCAAAGAGGAAAGTAGTATCACTAATAGGAGCTTTTTGGATATCCCCGATGATGATCTGTTTGCAAGTAATATTCGCGATACGATACCGAAAAATAATGGTTCGGAGAAAAATCAGAATGCTGCTACATCGAAGAAAATCAGTTTGTTTGATAACGATGACATCGACGATGGTGATTTATTTGCAACGAAATCTGCTAAGAATGACACCAGAAATGAATCTGATATCTTTAATAACGATGTTGACGATGACGATGAGAACGATTTGTTTTCCGTGAAGAAATTGACCAACAAAAAGCCAAAAACTGATGAACAATCGCCACGGATGGCTGAATCCGGAGTAGATATCGTGGATCAGAAAGTGTCCGTTGAAAAAAGTGAAAGTAGAAGTAGCGATATTCTTTCGACCAGTGGATTATTTTCTACAACCATTGGATCTCATGAGTTAATTTTCGAGGATGATGATTACGACGATTTGTTCAGCACTAAAAGTGTAAGGATGGATAAAGCAAAAGAGGATAAATCTTCAGATTTAAAGGCGGAAGAAGATACCAAGGATAAAGAATATTCCGCTAAGGATTGTAAAATATCAGATGATATCTTTACGCAATCCGAAGAATCAAATGTGTCTGTTACCACGTCTAGGAACGTAGAACGAGATAGTGAGCAAGATACAGATCGAGTCAATAGTTTTGACAAACCCGAGACTACGAAAAATATTGAAAACGAATTAAAAAAGAGTCCTCCAAAATCCTTAGACATTCATACAACTACTACGATGCCTCCACCTGACACGAATAATCAAGGAGCAAAGCGAGCGGTTTCTGGAAAAATCAAAAATTTAATGGGAAAAATGAATGATTTGAAAATGCTATCGCCAATGGATACACCACCAGTGTGGAGAAAAAGTAAAGAGAAAGCGGACGAAGAAGACAGTGCAGCGGACAGAGATAGTGATGACGGTGGATGTATTAGCACACAAGGTCATAGTTCGCCGTTAAGCGTGTCAGGTAAGTTTCTATACTTTATACAGGTCTTATATTCTATATTACATTGTAATTTTATGTACTGTTTTTATACGCGATCTTTTGACTTGATAAAAGAAGAAAAATGTATATTATTTTTCAGAAGATAGCACTACTCAGAAGCAATCGCAGCGGTCGACAATTTCGGATGAAAGTAACGTAGAAAATGCCATTAGTTTCGATGAGCCAGCTCAAGTAGAAACGTTGTCTACTACTGCTTCAAAGGTACATAACCAATATATTGAACAGGCAATATCATTGGTACAGAATGAAAACTTAAAAAAATAAAATAATTTCGTTGATCGTATTGTTTACTTATTTCTAAGTTGTATCATTTTTCAGACTCGAGTTAGAATACAAGCGAGACGCAGACCGCAAAGTAGACATGCACGAAAATCTGCGATCAGGCAAAGCGGAATCGATTTTGATACCGTCGACAACTTTGAGAACAATTTACACGACGAGAGCCAGGCCAATCAGTCATCGAGTATCCAAAATAAACAGACCTTTACACCTGCAGATGTTAGTACCGGACATACCGTCAGCACGACTTCTGATCATTTGGTTTCGTCGAACAACGATAATCTTTATCGAACCTCTGATACTAATATTTTCTTGGTTACGGACGATAAATCTGAGCTTGGTAGCATAAGCAAGGAAAGTTCAATGAGTGCCAATAAAAATACCTTACTGTCTCCGTCTACAGACGAAGAAGATTTATTTGACGTACCGCCAGATTTACCGGAAGATCCTCAGAAAGAGGATACGCTATTTGGTAGGGCACCTATTCTTTCTCCAGTTGAAAATGTTATCTCTGAGAAGCCACCCGTTACTTTTAAAGTGTTGAAGGACACGCACATCAAACAAATTAACGACGTAGAGACAGAAACGGAAAAAACTGCACAGCAAACAGAAGAGAACAGTACGTTATCCGAATCTAGTACCAGTTCTAATGTAAATGCTACAATTTCACTCGCAAGTAAAAAGGGCTCCACGCTAGAAGACAACAAATTTGGTGCTGAATCGAAAGAAATGATTGATCCTTTACGAGACGGTAGTCACGATCCGTTGAAAGATCCTAGTCAATTATTTGCTTTCGTTACGAAAACACCGTCTCCGGAAAAAGGAAAGAACTTGTTATTTTCTGAAGACGATAGTTTGTTTTCCAGTGGCACTAAGAAATTAACCGAAGAACAAACTGCAAAGAAACCAATTTTGGACTTGTTTACCGATGAAGCGGAAGGTGATTTATTTTCGACGACTCTAATTAAACCTGTGAAAAAATCTTTGAAGGAAAACAAGATTAGTTTGTTCGACGAAGAAGACGAAGATGATAGTTTATTCGGATCTGTTGTAAAAAAATCAACGACAGAAAGCGAATCTGAAAAGAAACATCCCGAACAACAGTCTACGAAAAAATTAAACTTATTCGATGATGATGATAACGATACAAATTTATTTTTTGAGCCATTTGAACAAGCACAAAAGTCAGATTCTGGAAGTATTCGAGAGCTATCGAATAAAGGTGACATATTTACAAATATTACCGAACCTGTAAGGACTTCGTATATTACAGACATTTTCGCTAATCAGTCGAGTGGAGAAGATGATATTTTCGCTAGGATACCAGCTCCAAAAAAGGTTACCGTCGCGTCGAAATCACTGTTTCCATCCGATGATTACGATGACGACGACGATGATAATATTTTCGGTAAAAAATCCGCGAACGCATCACAAATTAAGTCCGCAGATACTCGTTCAACTATTAAAAAAGCAGTAACAAGGGATCTGAAGAAGACAGCTGAAAAGATTGGCGAGGATCCTTTGAGTGCTCTGTTAGACGATTAAGCAATCTTTCTTTCTGAAATTATATATTTATGGAAATAATAATCGGGAGTCACGTACATGGAGGATGAATTGTGTTTAAACAGTGAAAAACGCTGAGCGTTAGAAATTTAAACAAAATTTAATTATATGCCAGATTTATTTGTTTCTATTTGTTATTTATATGGAAAATGTAAAATATATCGTGATTCATAACGTATACTGCTACAAATACTTTTCAGTATTTCCATCTTTATTGTTTCAACTAGAAGTCGTTAAAATATAAAAATTGTGAAAAATTTATTAAATACCAAGAACAACGAAAATCAGAATTGTACACAAATGAAATAGTAATTAATTTTGCTTGGTTTATTGTCATCTTCTAACACGATCTTTTTGCATAATTAGTTTGCACGCAGTGCTTTACACGTTTATGTATATTTTATTTGTTGATAATATATGGCATTCCATAATGTATTGTATTGTATATATTGCATCCTCTTTACGAAGCATGTATTAGTAAAAATAAGTTAATAGAATAAATGTTATTTGATCTGTATTTAAAAATTTAATTCCTAATCTTAAAAATTGGTTCGAAATTTATTTAAGTAATAAGAAAAATTATAAAATTGTTAATTAATACTTTTTTTTAAATATATACTAATTTCTCTGTTCTCTGTTTCATTTTATTTTTACTTACTTTGTTTTCACTATTTTCCTAAATTTTTTGGTTTTACTTTAATTGAAAATGAAAATTAATGCATTTTTCTGTTTTTTTAAAGAACAAAAATAAATTATCCCTTTTTTTCTTCATTCTTTATCTGCTCTTCTTTTATTTTTTAGATCATTTTTATGTTTTCCTCTTTACGAATTTTTGTATATTTATACATTCGCATAAATTTTAATTTTATATTTGTAAACGATTTTCAATTTCATTTCGCAGTTTAAAGATAAAAAGAACAAGCACCGGGAAAAATTATATTTGAGAAATTTTCATATTTATCATTTCATATTTATCCTATCAGAAAACTAATTCTATATATCTCCATATATCTTACATTTTAGTAAATACCTTAAAATTTTTGAACGAACAATGCAACATTTACATGGAGAGTAGGGAGTTAACTTCTGAATGCGTCATATGTTGTGATATACGTCGGATTTATATTCACTGATCGGTTCAAAGGTACATCCGCTGCATAGGAAATGTAACACCTGCAAACGAAAGAAGTTAATATACAATTACGGTGATCATATTGGTTTACAATTACATTTGAAGAAGGATTACAACTACTCGAATAAAAGAAATGAATTGAAAGTAGGACAACATAAAATATATGTCCAATGTGAAATCTATGTCATAAGTTAAAATAAAGCCGCGTTGCGACTTTTTTTCCCATACAAGTACTCAACAACCGCCATCTTTTATAGATCATATAGCGATCGCAGATCACGTAGCGATCATCGGTCAAGTCGATATTTGTTTCGTTCTAATTGTTTAAATGTACATATTTATATTTTAGAACTCAAGTAAGGAAGCAAAGTACTGACTCTAGATTAAACGCCTACGAAAATCCATTAATAGACGTATAGACGAATAAAAATGTACTCTAACGTTATTAGCTGTTGTTTAGCTATCATATGAAATTGTATGGAATATAATTGAAATTTCATTCATTGATATTCCTTTGAAAAGGGTTATCTTATTGTAATTTAGATAAAGTTATGCAAAGTTTGAACTGATTGTATAATGCGATTAATAAGTAATGATATGCAATACTAACATTAATTTAAATATATATATTTTTTATATTTGAATATATTTATTTCTTGCTATTTTACAATTTTATTTTTTCAAGGAATGTTGAAGTATGCATTAACATTCTTACTTGGGAATCGTAATACAAAACATGAAGGAAAAATTACAAAGTCTTTAATTTCCGTAAGGAAATGACCACTTTTATATGTGTTACATGGATGTAAGATCACAGGAACAAGTGTCTGTTTGAAGCTATTGGGTCGTGGTAGGAATGTTTTGCAGTTGAAATTCACACGTCGTTGAAATCGCACTTACTGCGTTACTTAAATTACCCGTTTCATTCATATTTGGTAAGTAGTAAAAAAATCCAAATGCCTCTGACTTTAACTATTTTTTCAGTATTTCTTTTTGATTTTTCCTTCAACAACGAGTTCTTTGCATTTACGTCTTTTTCTAAATTTGTACATTTAATAAAACAGCAAAGTCAATTCTACAAATTGTTCATACTAATGTCGTGAAAATAAAATGTTTGGAATCTCATAGACAGGCTAAATTTTACTACTAAAAATATTGTTAGAAAATAACGCGTTACATATTTTAATGATTCTTTTAGATGTCTATTAAGTGACAAATAAATATTATTGACAAAATTATTAACAAAAATGTTCACTCTTTGCTGACTGTCATATGATATATATTTACAATCAGTATCGTATATGATCAACAAATATGCGTTATTGATGTTCAGCAAATTCGGTCATTTTTAATTAACATTTATTATCGTGTAACTGTTTAATGTAAATGTAAGATTAAATATTTCGTAAAAAGTAATTATTATATTAAACTGCGTAATTTATTATAATTTATTATATTAAACTATGTTAATTCAACAGATGAACTATCAAAATGTCTTCAGGAGGAAGTAATGCATATATAAACGATATAGTGGATTTCTCTGAATCGGTTAAAAATGAAAAAAGTGAAATAGCCGAATTTTTTGCTCATACTAATGTTTTGGTAACAGGAGGAACAGGTTTTTTGGGAAAACTACTCATCGAAAAGTTGCTCAGGTACGCCATCCATATTACGCAAATATTCAAATAATATTTTGATATTACGATTAATTAATTTGCCAATGTACTTTTCCTATTAGAACATTTTAATACCGTACGAAAAGAAATTAGTGGATTTTTTCTTGAAATAAAACAAGATGTCGCAAATATTTCTTTTCAAAATTATGGTAACATAGCTTACAAATCGTACAAGGTATTGGAATAAACAATATAACATTGATATAGAAAGCATGACAATATATTTCTTTGAAAAGTATATTAACCCGAGTTTTTATAAGTTTGACCCACTTTGCAATACATTTCGTTAATACCGATTTATAATATACATGAGTTTTTCGTTCATCAAACGGTTCAAAGGTGCATCCGGTGTTTATAACATAATGTTCGAGTGGTTACGATTGAAATGAGTTAAGGTGTAATGTAATTACAATAATCATATAATTTTGAAAAGTGTCACAATTGTTTTGAATTACACTTTAAGGAAAATGATTAAACTTCATTCGAATTAAAAAGGCAAACTGAAACTGAAATAAAATAAAATAAAAATAATTTTAGAATATTCATATAAAAATGTATTTAATTTTATAAAGGAATTATTAATTATCTAATATCATTCGTGTTAAACAACAGATAAATTATTATTAAAACGATATATAGTAAAATATTTATATACATGTCGTAAATATTTTGTATAATTAGTCATTGTACTATATCCATAATTACAGAACTTGCTCGGATATTGTAAGAATATATATGATAGTGAGACCAAAAAAAGGAAAAACAGCTTTGGAACGATTTAAAGAAAATTTTGAAGAAGTTGTAAGTAAAATAAGCATATCGGTAAGACGTATAGTTGGATGGCAATAAATTGTATCTTACTTTTATTAGGTATTTGATAAATTGAGGCGTGAGCAACCAAATGTTCTACAAAAAGTGGTAATGCTAGAAGGTGATGCGATGTTAGAAGATTATGGATTGTCGCAGGAAAATAAAAATATTTTAATGGATACCAACGTTATTTTTCATGCGGCTGCAACCGTACGATTTGACGAAAAAATTCGCGTGGCACTCAACATTAATGTTAAAAACACGAAATTCTTATTAACATTTGCAAAAAGTCTACCGAATTTGAAGGTATATCTAATATTTTTTATTAATTTTTAAGTAATACATTTTATACTAGTTTTATGAAGCACATAAATAATTATTAATAATTACTAACAATTGTATTATTTCGTAGGCCTTCGTACATGTATCAACTGCATTCTCGCCTTGTATACATAAGACTATTGAAGAAATACATTATAAAAATAATATGGATGCAGATAAAGTCTTAATATTATTGGATATTTTAGATGATGAAAAACTTCAAAAATTGACCCCTGTGTAAGTATTACTTTAATAAATTTATACATTTTGATTTTGTAAATAAGAATAATTACAATAAATTCTATATTTTCTGTGTGACAGATTGCTTGACGAATGGCCAAATACATATATTTTTACCAAATCACTAGGAGAAAATATTGTATTAAAATACAGTAATGATCTTCCAATTTGTATTGTACGACCTAGTATCGTTATATCAACTTATAAAGAACCGATTAGTGCATGGATTAATAATATGTATGGAGCTACAGGTGTAACAATGGGAAGTGCTACAGGTTTGTTACGTACATTATACTGTATACCAGAAAATATAGCAGATATTATACCAGCAGATTATGTTATTTCTAACATTATTTCTGCTGCTTGGGATATTGGTAACAGGTAAATATTTAATTATAGTTTCTTATTAATATTAAAAGTTACTAATGGTTTTAAAATTGCAATTATATTTGAATCGGTAAACTTGAAATGGAATAATAAAATACAAAACATCAATACTAACACTAATTATTTTGTTTCATAGAAAGATTGCAGTAACATCAGATCAAATATCTAATTTACCAGAGGAAATAAAAGTACCAGTTTATAACATGGTATCTTCTTGTCAAAATCCAATTTCTTGGGGCGATTACATGAAAAAAGTTGAACATTATGCATTTGAAGTACCTAGTATAAAAATTTTATGGTATTATATGTTGATACTCAATAGATACTTACTAATGCATAAGATTTGTGTTTTTGTTTTGCACATAGTACCAGCAATTATTGTTGACACGTTAGCTTACATCACTGGTCACGAACCGATGTATGTACTCCATATGTATATGAATCAAAAGCTGTGTATTATAAATTATAATTGAAAATATACATTAATCATCACACAGCCTAATATTCATTAATGATTCCAGACTGTTAAATATATACAAAAAGATACATAAATTTAGCAATGTAATACATTACTTTGCAACAAACGAGTGGAAGTTTCACAATGACAATGTTATGAAACTTTGGAAGAAAATGAATTCCCACGATCAGGAAATTTTCAACTTCAATACAGGAGATTTAGATTGGGATGCATACTTTTATGTCAATGTAAGAGGTTTACGTACATATTTATTAAATGATCCTATGGATACAATGGATGATGCAATAGTCAGATGTACCAGGTATGTCTCTTTTCAAAGTTTATTAAGATTAAGCCTAGTGTTACTTTAATTATAAAATGTAATTTTCTTTATATTGTAGGCTACGTGTAGCTCATTACACAATCGTAACTGTAGTAACATTATTATTTGCATGGATTGCAGTGTCATTTACAAGGTTTGTTTGGTCTTTTTGTCCTCTATCGCACTAATAATTAATAATCGTAGACCTGCTTCTTTTTAACAATCTAAATTAAATTTAAATCCACTTGTTTTTCAACTATATATACCTCTATTACAAGAAATTGTTGATTATCGGACTTGTTCCGTTATGATGATAATAGATGTCGCCACAAAGCTGTATGGTATTTTCTGAAATGAAACATGGATATTTTGGTAACTTTGTTAAATTATTAATTATGTACTAGTTTGTACGTAAGAAAATATTTGCCCTTACATTTTACAATAAATATTAACATTTTTCTATTAGCAGTTTACTATTACGAACGTCATTGACAATTTGACTTGAAATCAGGAAAGTAAGTAAATATGAAATTTCAAATTATTTATAAGAAAATTTACTTACATCTTTAATATTATATTTCCATTTTACCTTTAATATCTCGTTAAGTCCATATTTGTTACAAGTTTGAATAACTTTTAACATTTTATGGCCATTAGTTTGCTTATACGTCAATATTTCATAAATGAAAGGAAATGGAAGCTTTAAAGTTTAGAAAATAATGCATTGTTTATATTATGTAATATGTACGATTTATTAGGAACGCTGAATGTTATTATTCATGTTCAAACATCAATCATATCGAGCTATATCGAGCGAATGAATATTGCATTTATTTGTAACATTAATATTTATAACATTATTATGTAATTAATAATCGGAAAAGAAGAATTAGAGATATTATATAGCGATATTATATCTCAGTAAACAAATGAAACATTTGCAATTCGAGCATGTACAAAAATCTGTATTGTAAAGAAAAACCATGTAAATGAAATTTATACGTAGGAGTTTCTTTCTCGATTTATAGCCGCGCTGTTAATAAGCGCGACTACTGTCTTGGCTACATGTCGAGTACATTGTATACAGATTGGATTGATTTATTATACCACGAAGCACTAGCGAAATTGTTTACCGACTTTTTCTTTCGTTTTCCGTGGCTTAACGAGCCATTTAAATACTGGATGTATTGCATCTTATTTCCTTCAGATCGATATCATTTTCCAAACTCGAGAATGTTTGATTTCAAATGGTTCACAATTTTTCTAGTTTCTTCGTGTATACAAATAAAAGTCAAATAATCGAGTAGAAGCAAAAAGAAAAGAAAAGAAAAAATCGATTTAAATCGAAGAAAAGAAACGTTTCAATATATCGATAGCATATTCATTTTAAACACAATTTGATCAGCTCGTTCGTTATTAACGAGATTTAACTTTAACGTAATTCATTTGTTGCGAAACTCCGTAATACATCGATAATAGGCGATATCGGTGCGACACCGTTGAAAGAATCGTAGAAGCTGATAAGGAGGAAGAAGCGAGGTAAGAACCGTATCAGCAATAACACGGATGGGTCATAGGGGCAAATGGGGAAAAGAAGCGGGTAAGTCGTGCGCCACCATCATGCATGGAGCGTCGGAGTGTAGTGTGATACGGGGATGGAGGCCGCGCAAGCAGGCGAGCGAGTCGAGCGAACAGAGTCGAGGATCGAGAACCAACCGGCGACTCAGGAAGGCAGTGCACGCCCGACTGCCGACACGAGCGGATGGCGTACGTTGCCGCTCGCGCCACGATTACCTCGTGATTTTCCTTTCTGTCAGATACGGTCACCGTTCATCTCGTGACGAGTCACACGGTATTTGAACCATATTACGACTGCACACAGTCGCAGTCTTGAGGTCCGTCAGTGACATTACGTGTCGCGCTTCGTTCGCGAGACAAAGAGAAAAGAAGGAGAAGAGACAGCAGAAGGAAATAAAGAAACGGAGAAGGCGAAAGGTAGATTTTTTCCCTCCGATTTCTGTCTCTGTTCTTCGGTTCCCATCGTCGCTTCGTGTTTTGTCATCCACGGACATCGTATACCGCGCACGTACGCCTTTTAACCACGTGTGTGCGCACGTACGCACAAAATTCAACGACGCACCACGTACACATTGTCAGGCTCACGCGACTGGCGTACGGGGCGCCCTCCAAAAGTCGTGTGTGCGCGTGCAACCCTGCCGGAGCCCGCTGACGTTGTTGGTTACCATAGTAGCGCGCGTGCCGATCAGCTGATCGTTGGGATCCGAGCGTGTTCGACCGTCGGCAGTCGGTCAGCAGCGGCTCCGTCCATTCCTCGTTTCGTGCGTTCTCTCCGCATGCGTCCACGCAGCTCGCTCGCCTTTCGCGCCGTGACTTAGTGACGAGCAAACGAACTATTTCGCCAAGCCTCGAAAACCAAGAGTCCGAGGAAACGTCTCCAAGTAGAAAATATCGCGTAAGCCGTACTCACCGTTCGGATCGTTCTCTTCTTCGACGTTATCCATGCTGCAAGGATGCACTGTGTTTTGTCCATACTGTCGATACAATTAGTCGAGTAGACGCTTGGACGTTGGAATCGAAGTACGTTATTGGAATAATCCACGGTGTGTTGGTGTCAAAGGAAAACCAATGACATTTTCGTCGATGCACGTATCGATTGCTTCGACATTCACACACGAGCACACTCAGACTTTGCCATGATTTACGTCACGCATTTTAAATTCAACCGTCCAGAAATGAAATTCAACGGAAATATGCCCAGCGATAGTGGATCGGAATATTAGTTATCATGCATTGTTCGGTTGGACGTTGTAAAGCATCTCGATTAAAATATCGAAACATTTTTCTTGTTCAATATTTTGGAATTACGTTTAAGCAGAAGCTTATCGGACGCGAGAGGTAGGCTTGGTGATGATCGCCATGCATTTTTAAACGCATTTGGTAATCGAAGCCACGTTCCACGAGTCATATAACAAACATACATCGTCTCTCGAAGCAGCAATTTATCCATGCGTTATGCTCTTGATAGTGTCGTCAGGTGACTTTACGAACGTTACTGACCCTTGGCGGCCATCAACGACACCCCACACAGCGAACGAAACAAACCTTCGGAAGAACGATCACTCGTCGGAATAAATATCTCTCGGCGAATTACAGAGAACAATTTCGCCGCTTGTTGTAACCGGTTAATTTGCAAACCAGACGAAATTCGATTACTCGGACTAAATCGACTGTGGCGTGGCAGCACTCGTAAAGATGAAACGTAACCGTTCCGAATCGATCGATATGAAGATGGTGTCTTAGCGGTGTATCTTCGGAAAAATATCGATACATCGATATCGTTTCGTGTCAGATGTCGCTAGACTGCAGTGAACGATGGCCGAGCAATCTTCGTACGTACGAAACGAAGAACGAAACACGTCGGAATTGAATGAAGCGATCGTGGTAAATAATAGTTTTTGTTGAAACAAAGATACGAGTTGTACGGTAACGGGGTATCGCAGAATGTGAATAATTCTTCGTACGAGCACGTTTTGACAATCGTTTGTACCTGTGACGAATCGTTTGACTCCACTGACCAATCAGACTGCGCGTGAATATGTGAAGTGACTGAGTTTTTCTTATCGAACTTTTGTCAAAAGTGATTTTCGTTTTGTTTCGTGCTGTGCCTACAACCGCATTTTCACGCGCCGATTGCAACAATGACAATTCGAGGTATTTTCTCGTTCACGCGGAAACTCTGTGATAGCCGATGCCAGCAACGCCATTACTCGGATTAAGTCAAGTGCGAGGAAAACGCGGTTCCTGAAATCATTTTGATAGAAAGCTTGGTGAGTACGAAACGTGTATAGCAATCTGTGCTCATCGGAACGCGAATAGAAAGAAAAGATACAATTTCCGCCGATCCGAGTAAGGGAGGTTATGTATACGCATAGACGCGTGTCGAAGTCTGAAGATCGAATCGTATCGAACGTATTATTTCTTTCCCGCCATTTTTCTGTCAAAACGATATCGTTTGTTACGCGTACCGTTTGGATAGGCATACCTGCTTGAAATTTTCTAACGTAAACGAGTACAACAGTCGAGGGTGTAATTATCATTGGCGTAATAACGTAATCATACTTTTCACGTTGGAAAGCATTAGTAACGTCGAACAGAATATAAACTCGAGTCAGTTGTCGAGTCGGCGAACCACTATCGATCTTTACCTCCTGTCTGCGTCTATCCTCCTCCGCTCTGTCACACAGGAATGTAAGCAGCGTTGTATTTCTGGCGTGGTTATTTCTTTAGTTTTTCGAGTTGTAACCGTCATTATAAAATGTCAGAACAAACCGGTTAATTAACACCGTTCGCTGATTACGTATCATAAATATTAATGCACCTCATTACGAGTACATGCAATTAAAAGTATTTCGTATTGAAAATGCAGACAAGTGTATGAAAATTAGAAAAATATTCTCTAATGTATCGTATATCTTAATTATAGTTGTGTACCATTTTCTGACACGTTAGTTTTAAACGAATCGTTTCTTTATTATTATAATAATTCCAGCCGATATCGCACGCCGGTTTTCGAATATATTTCTCTCCCGCGTATTCATTACTTCGAATAAAAATGGCCTAGGAAGCGGAAAAGGCAAACACGTTGCTATAGTAAATATTTACGAATAATATCGCACGAGACACGTTACTGGCAACAGTTAATGATAAGTACCACCCGCATAATAGAGGTACGCGTTCGTTGATAAGCTCTCGGTAATAACCGGCGATATACGCGATACTTGCCGTTGTTGTCGGCTTTTAGTAACGCACTACGATATACGTTATCGGTTTCCTTTCCGTTGCTTCGATGAAAAGAAAACACCGTGAGTTTCAGTCTTTTTCTGTTCCTTTCTACGATTAGTCGCTGTTTAAACGAGTAATATAGACGCACTCGTAGTTCGCTTAATAGCTAATCCAGGAATCGCTTACAATTCTACCTTGGTTTTTTCTCGAATTTCCATCGAAAAAAATCGTACCGTTTAGGAAGGGGTAAAAATCTTGCCCAGTTTACTCGTGACCGTAAATTGTAAGAATGAATGTTAAAATGTGACGAGGAAAAGAAACAAGCCGAAAGAATCCCGATCTTGCACCTGATCTTACAAAACTACGCATAAGTACTTGTTCTTGCAAAACCGTATTAGATGCGTTTGCCTTCGTGTTTACTGACCAACTAAATTCTTACAAACTAGTTCTGAAATTTATGCGATCCTCGAGAGTGCACAACCTAAAGAGGATTCTCTGTTTTGTCACACACTCCTCTTGGGAACTACCGCCTCGAAGTGCAATAAACTGGAACTGTGACTGGAGCTTTTAGCACCCCAATGCGACCGTGATAAACGGAATTTCGATTCGATCGTCTACC